GTTTAAGTTGTCCTGTACTGGGCCTTTGTTAATGGGCCTAATCCTGTTTAATGTTTTAAGTTGTCTGGGTGTCCCATCACTAATCAGGGGCATTCTAGTAACTTCCTGTATYATTGTACTACACCATAATATAAATAATAGTACCGTCGACTAAGCAGATGAGTTCGACATTCCTGCCTCTCTTCTTCTTCTTCTTCTTCTCTTTTTTGCTACTTCGGCTACAGTAATTTAGCTTTCATAAATAAATAATTTAAATTGAAGATTATTACTGAAGACCATGTTAAATAGGTTTTGATTCCCTACTACCATGAAATTGTGAAAATGATTTGCAAATCAAGTGTAAACTTTTGTGCTTGTGGGTATTAAACCTTTCCAAGGAGGCAGTTCCCAAATAAAAAGTGGAGAGAAGATTGGCTTCTTGGAAGGCTAAATATTTATCATATGGGGGCAAACACTGTTAAGGACTGTTCTCTCTTCCATTCCCATGTATTTACTCTTAATGTACTCAATCCCAGCTAGCATGGCATCTAATTTAGAAAGGAAGATGCAAGATTTTATGGAGGGGTTGGAAGGATGGGAAAAAAAAGTTTAATGTGTTCAATTGGGGAAAAGGTTTGTAGGGCAAGGAAAGCTGGAGGCTTGGGAGTGAGAAAGTTAAAGTGGATGTAGCTTTATGGGAAAGTGGGTTTGGAGACTGAACAAGCAGAATGGGGAGCTATGTAAGGAGTTCTGGTTGGGACCCTGGTGTAGCCAATCACACTTATTGGTTCTCTGTTTGGAAGGGGTTAAGACAAGCCACAGAGAATTCAGTAGAGAGGTAATGTATGCAGTAAGGAATGGACAAAGAGTAAAATTTTGGAAGAATTGTTGGTGTGGAATCAGACCTTTGAAAGATGACTTTCCATCCTGGTACAAGCTAGCAACAAACAAAGAGGCACAGGTAGCTGAATAGTTTTCAGAAAACAATGTAGTCAGGGTGTTGACACCACAATTTAGGAGGCACTTAAATGATTGGGAAGTTGAACATCTGCTGATGGGCCTAATACAGTCATTGTACAACACCCACATAGACCCTGGCAGAGAAGATAGGAGTGACCTGGGAGAAATCTGGTCAGTTGTCAGTGAAGTCCTTCAACCATGTGACATCTCAAGGAGTCTGTGGCTTCTCATCTGATGCTGTATGGAGCAAATGTGTACCTTCAAAAGTGTCTTTTTTTGTTTGGACAGCTAATATGAAAACATACAAAGGAAAGTCTTTCTAACTGGCTCAAATGTCTTAAATCTGTTTTCTTACTTCCCAGAAGCCATGAACACATGCATTTTAAATAAGAATAAACCAACGGCTCATTTATTTCCTGTACTTGGATCAAGGACAACAAAATAAAGTTTGAAAATGGAAATGGTTGAAATGTCTCCACTACAATTCAAGCAGTTTATAAGTATCTGTTAAAAGAGATGAGGGTTATTGCTTCCAATTTTCATGGCCTTGACCTAGTAGTAGGATATCTTAATACAGGAAACCTTTTTGGGGCTATAAGTACCTAATACAGGGAAAGAAACATAAAGAAAGGCAGTTGGCCACATACAAAACTCGAGCTGCTCCTGTTAAATAAAATAAAAAGAAACAATCAAGTGAGTATGATTGTTTTGGTGTCATCTGAGCTAAACATCTAATGCTTATGTTATGGTAATAGCTTTTTGGCTATTATTATTGGTAACTTTATGTTGCGGTAATAGCTTTCTGATGATCTAATTTGTATTTGAAATGTTCAGGAACCAGAGGAATTATTTGAGACAGTCTCTCAGGCATTACTTTCATCAATGGATCGTGATTGTTTGAGTGGATGGGGAGGTCATGTATTTGTCATGTAAGCCCTTTCCTTTCACTCCAGATTTGCTAACCACAAACTGTTCCCACTTCCCTGCCCACAGAACACCACCTCTGTGTATTAGGAACATCTCCCCATGAATGACAAGGGGGATATTCCCAATGCACAACTGTAATGTCCTGTGGGTAGCAGATTCGAGCCCCTTCCCTTTATTCCTGGATGCTTTTGTTTTCTTCATTAATATGTGATATGGGAAATGCTTCTATGCTAGAGATAAAAGAAGAAAAAATCAATGTGCATATTGATAAAAAAAAAAATATATCAATGTGCATCATAAAGTTTGTGATGGCATTAATTTCTTGAGCAGTCTTTATTCACCATTCTATCTTTGGGCTGCATAGTATTACCAAAATTGGCCTGCAATCAGTTGAGAGTTATCTCATGAATGTTGGCTATCCAAATGATGGTCCAGTTTTCCTGGAGTGGGATGACTGCTGATTGATCAACAGTCTTAATGATCTTGTAATCCAATTCGTGATGGTCATTGATGACATGAGCAACTCTGTTCTCTCCAAAAACCTCAGCTCCGAAATAGATTGGAACATCTGGTACTTTTCTGCTATATAGAATCAAGATATGGCCTATCTTGATTGATGAAACATCTCCATTTACAATACATGTAATGATGACTGTCTGGAAATCTTGAAGGCAGTAGGTTCACAAGGCTTATATATATACTTATTTGTAAACTCTCATTATACCCTTTTTGCCTTTTGTTGCAGTACACCAACAGAAGTAATTGAGAGAACCTTGAAGGGGAGGATGGATTGATCACAATTCATTATAGACCTGAAGGTTAATGTTCCTATTTCCAATGCAGTGTTCTTTATGTTTTATTTCCAAGTACAGCTACACATGAAGCCTCTTTTGTTTTTGAATTGGAGACAATCTGCCTTTAGGGATTCAAGGCATTAACTTCCAGCSACCAGCTTTGTAGGGGTACTTTCACTTTGGCTCTTCGCCCCAAAGTTGATTTTCTTCATTCAGGGATCAAACTACTATAAGACATTTGTATGTTTCTTTTACCATTAGGATGGATAATCATTTTTCGCATTTGAATTGTTACTGGTTAAGGGTTACCATGAGGACTACCAATAGTTCTACTAAGCGCTGTTGACACTCGAATCTTTAAGTTATTAGATGGTTCGAATTATCCTGTTATGTTTTCACCCTCTTATTGTTCTTTTTCTTATGAGAACACTTGTTCTGTAGTGTAAATGAAGGATGACCCACCAGCATATAAATGGAAAGAGAATGCTGTCCTATGCATCCCATCCCATCTGGTTGGATGGGATTAGCAGTCATCCGTTCTATGGAATCCCCCTCGCGTTCTACCATCCACCACTAAAGAGTGCAACAAATGATCAAAGGTATATGGAGGGTCCTTTCATTTTTTGGATTTTGAGAGGAGGGAAGTTGGTGAATGGGATTTTGGTTCCCATTGATTAAGATATTCATGTTTTTTTTTTAGATTTATGTGGGGTTTATGAAAAATTTATTTGTTTTTGGGTATCACTTAGAGGGTGTTCCTTTTGGGGATTATGAGGGGGGGTGGGGGTTCAGATTTATATGGGGACCAGGGAAAGTTTATTTTCCTGGGTATAACTTACCCATCTCCTAGGCTGGTAAATTAACTTTTCCATATTGGGGAAGTTGTCAACACTTGGATGGGCAAAAATGCTGCTTTTGATAATGAAATTTTTATGACTAAAATGGTCATTATTTTATTTACCTGAAAAAAAAAACATGGGTAAATGCACTTATTCGGGTAAATGTTTTTCAAGAAATACTTACTCAAGTAACATACTGAAAAGCGAACGGGGCCTTATAGGTAAGAGATATCCATCTCCCAAATGGGTAACTTTCTCATCTAGGGGAAAGTTGCCTACACTTTAATGGGATAAAATTACCCTTTTTAAAAATGGCTTTTTATGGTTAAAATGGTCATTGTCTCATTTAATTGGGAAATAAAAGAACATGGGTAAGTGCACTTAGGAAGCAGTTACCCAGATAAATGCATTTACCTGGGTAAATAACTTCCCGAAAAGCGAATGGGCCTGAAATGATTAAGTATCTTATATTACTTGTCAGTTTTCAATTTTCACTGCGTTTGGCATGAAAGTTGCCAATACTTAAATGGGATAAAATTGTCCCTTTTAAACATGATTTTTTATGATTAAAATGGTCACTGTTCTATTTAACTGGGAAATAAAAGAACATGGGTAGATGCTCTTAGGAAACACTTAATTTCCTGAAAAATGAACGAGCCTGAAGTGATTAAGTATCTTATATTACTTGTCAGTTTTCACTTTGCACTGTTTAGCATGATTTTTCTGGAGATGAAAATCAGTGGCTGACCTTTCTTGTGCACTTAATTTAAAGTTGCTTCATATCAATCCCTTGATTACTCAACTGGTTCATAAGATGTTTCGGATTATWGTCAAGTGATAGTGATCCATCCCTCTTGAACCTTGATTTATGCATATTCAGGAGTGTCCTAGAAATCCCATAGGCCATAGCCATTGAATTCCTATGGTAAACAAGTGATCCAGCTTGATGGCGAGAAGTGTAATGATGGCCCAGTTTTGCAGGCCGTCTGCACTGTAATGGGCTGTGGCCCCAGCCCCAGCCTGGCGGGCCACGAACTGGGCTGGGCTGTGGGTGCTGGGTGGCACTACTTTTTTTAGAAAAATTGAAAGAATTAAAAAACTGAAAAAAAATTAAAAATAAAATTGTAATAATATTGAAAATAAAAACTTCAAAACCCCCCAGCTCAGCACGGCATGGGGTTCAGGACTTCAGGCTGGGTCTGGCACAACCTGCTTGTTACAGTGACTGGGCCGTGTTAGTATGCAGGCAGTTCGACCCATTTTACAGTTATATTGATAAATCATAATCCCGATGGCCATGCTGGCCTGAACTTAAAGAATTGCTATTTTTTTTTTTAATCCCAAAATTTACTTCAGGCGAAGGGACAGTCATCTTAGAATTTTATTAATCAACTAAAATCGAAAGGAAGGTATATTAATAAAGGGGAAGACATATCCGTCTTACCCCAAAACCCAACAAAATATCACACTTCCTTTCACTTTCAACCCAGCCGACAAGCATTAAGAAAACTACTCGTTTCTAGATAAATAAACAATAGCTGGTTCTTGGTAAATGATCACTAAAGAAACAAGAAAGATACCAAAATAGATCATGATTTAATACTTTTTTTGGGGGTGCAATTCTGTACTATCTCTAACTGTTATGGTGAGAATCTGGTTTGCATTGAAAGCTTTCTATTTTTTCATTTTTCTGAGGTTTCGGAGTTCTTCATCAGCATTTCAACAATAAACATTTCAGGGTGTTAGGATCCAAGCAATAAAAAAGAAGAAGAAAAATAAAATGGAATCACTCGATCTGTTTTATTATGGGCAGTATCTGTTTTCAACAATAAACTTCTACTTTTATTATGGGCAGTATCTGTTTTCCTATCTGATAAATGAAAAACATATACTTTACTAAAAAAAATTCTTATATACTATAAAGTTGAATGAAAAGCACCAATAAAACGACAAGCCAAACAGACAAAAAAGAGAGCTTTCTTCCAATTAGCACAGAATCACTGCAGAAAAAAAAGGGTTTTACTCCTAATAGAACTCTCTAGATTCTAAAATAAGCTTCTATTTTCTTTCCATGTAATAAGTGAAAATTTGTGATGAAAAGTTTGTTTTCTTTGCTATTTACATCATCATCATATAAGCCTTGTCCCATTTGTCTACATGAATCCTGTTTCGTGATTCCATTATGTTTATTCCACCTTATAAGTTCTTTTTTCTCTGGCCCTGGTACTTCTTGCCCCTTCAATTGGTAGATGATCTTTTATATAGGGTTTTAATGGACCGGTTCTGGTTAAGACACCATCTAGACCAAAATCAATTTGGATGGATTGGACAGACCAACAAGACATATTAAATTGGACCAGTCCAGACTTAATGGTCCAAAGTACTTATTGGATTGGATCTGATCCACCTGTAATGGATTTATATTTGATTGGGTTGGATTGAACTAATATCCAGTCCATTGATAGAAGATAAGAATATAGGTGTCAATGGACCAGGTTTGGCTTGAAACCAATCTAAATTAAAACCAATTTGAACAGATTGGACGGTCCAGACATTGAATTGAATATGGTCAATCTGTAATGGACTCATATTGGACTGGATTGGATTGGACCATATCTGGTCCAAATGACACTCCTACTTCTATGCATGCGATCTAACCAATTCATTCTATTCTTTTTCTTTTGCTTTGAAAGGGGTAAGAATAATATTTGAAAAGTGGAAAAAATTATGAAGCAACAAATGTAGCCTAATGAGACATACATTTTTCTCATTGAAGAAAGGACAAGAACGTTGAGTGGAAAGTTGAAAAATTGAAGGATTACCAGCTAACATCTATCCTGCCATTTGTTTAAAGTTGGACTTTTCTCTATCAATCACAGATTAAAAATTAGGGTAAATTACAATGACCCTCTTGTACTATGGAAAATTGATAGATACTCTCTGAACTTTTATTTGCAATAAAGCCCTCTGAATTTTCACTTTGCGGCAAATACCCCTTGATCATTAAATTGTGTTAAATTATCAAAATACTCACATAATTTTTCCTTATTTTCTTTTTTCTTGCCCTTTTCTCTTTAACCCTAGTCAACCAAAAATACCTTCATTTTCTCCAAATGAAACCATCTAAAATAATAGGAATCATTTCATTGGCATAGAAAATAAAGTTTTTTTTTTTTTTTTTATTATTATTTCGATTCATTTCACTCACATGAATGTCTTTCTTCATCTTGCAATATAAAAATTATCCACTATTTCTCCAATAATTCAAGAAAAACCAAATGAAACCATAAATTTATATTTATTAGAAAGAAACCTCTACCATTTCATTTGAGTATTGAATCCAAATAGAAATCTGTAAGGATCTATTGAAGCAATCAAGAAGGCTTCAATGCTATATTTAGAAAATTAATCGAATCATAAATCATTCAAATAAATAAGAATAGTGTAATTTGGAGATTTAAAAAATTTTAAACAGTTGAATGATTCTTTTTAGGGAGTGCTATTTTTTTGGATTTTGAGAGGGGGAAATTGGTCAATAGGATTTTGGTTCCCATTGACCAAGAATCCCATGTTCTTTTTTCAGATTTATGTGGAGACCAAAGAAAGTTTTTTTTCCCAGGTAAGTGATACGCATCTCCTAGATGGGTAGATAACTTTCCCACCTACGGGGGAAGTTGCTAACACTTAATGGGACAAAAATGCCCCTTTTAAAATATATTTTTATAGTTAAAATGGTCATTGACTCATTTACATAAGAAATAAAAGAATATGGATAAATGCACTTACCTGGATAAATGTCTCCTAGGAAAAACTTACCCACCTGGATAAGTAATTTACCGAAAAGCAAACAGGGCCTAAACTTAACTGACAGAATGGAAAGGATATTTGTTGCAATGTGAAAGTTCAGGGGGGGGTTTGTTGCAAATAAAAGTTAATGAACATTTGTCAATGATCCCATACTATAAGGGGGTCTTTATAATTTACCCTAAAAATTATTTTTTTTTCCTTCAAATTTCTAATTTTGGTCTTCTCCAACCAAATTCAATTAGAGATGACATTGGATTGTGACAGAAGATCTCCTCCAACCTCAGTCTGACTCATTGAAATTGTTTTCTACACATATATTATATATATATATATATATATATATATATATATATATATATATATATGAACATGACAATGGTGGACCATCCGGCTGAAGGTTGACAGTAGAGGTACTGGACAGATCCTCCACTCAGACAATAACAAATGCTCATACAGTGTTGTCAAAAGCAAATGCTTTGACATTGAAGACCTCCATAAGAGCACGCCACATTAAGACAAAGCTTTTGCGTTCAGACTCAGTCTCAATGCACGTTCATATCATAGGCTTCGCATGAAGCTAGCTATTACAGAGAGATTATGATGATAAGAAAGTGATGTGATTGAATATTGAATATTGATGGGCACCTTCCCATTAACTTAGTTAACTAATGCTTGGACTCATGTCATGAATAATGAATCCAGCAAATTAACTTCAGGTCTAACCTAATCTCTCTCTCTCTCTCAACCATTTG